ATACCTTCTATAAGTTTATATTTGTTCTTTACTCTGCGAATGACTGAATGTGTGATCAGCCTGGAGCTGTATTTAAGTTATATTTATTTCCTGGACTTAGAACTAATTAATTGCATCCTCCAATAATGTATGGCCTATCTTGTCTGTGACCCAAATGTCCTGTGCTCTGACACTGGATCTAGGAGGCTATAATTGTTTACAGTGAGTGGGGTTCCAATGTCCTTTAGTTACAGCAAGTATCTGGGTCTAGTAACCCCCCATTTAACTTCCAGGGTGTTGTTCTATCACAAGAGTATTATCTATCAGTGCCCTAGTCTATAGTGAGGACCTTTGGCAAAAATTCACTAAGTATTTGGACTCTGACTTCCTAAAGCATTGCCTTAAAATATAACTTTTTCATATGAATTTCGGCTGAATGTATAGTAAGTAGGCTTAAGGAATCCTTTATGTTTTCTGCCATTCTCTTGCTGTGCCCTTTCTGCATGACTTCTGTAACTCTGCCGTCTCCTTTCTAGAAGACTTTGACAACTTAATGGCAACACCCTTCTGTCTGTCAGTTTTTATTTTCATTCTTCAAGCTCTTACAGCATTGCCCTTTGAACATCAAAATAAAAAATCGGGCCTTTTATAATAGGTAACAACAATAGCCTTCATTTGCATACTACCTTATTTGTGTTTGAGTGCACTGACCATACCCAACGTGATGGAATCTCTCTCCTGAGATTTTTACCCCTTGATGACCTTGTGATTTTTTTTTAATCCTGAATGCATACATTGTGAAAGCCTTAGGCACTCACAGGAGCACAGACCATAGGTGCAACTCTACCCCAACCCTAGTTTTAAATCTCCCTGTTCCTGAACTCTTGCTCGTCTCTGTGCTAGTTTATACTGTTAGTAGAGGAAGGCATGGCTTGACTCATCAGCTGCTTCAAGACAGTAGACCTATGTGATGCAGTATACCCTCATGGTTTTGCGCCTCAAGACAGTAGACCTATGTGATACAGTGTACCCTCATGGTCTTGCGCCTCAAGACAGTAGACCTATGTGATACAGTATACCCTCATGGTCTTGCGCCTCAAGACAGTAGACCTATGTGATGCAGTGTACCCTCATGGTCTTGCGCCTCAAGACAGTAGACCTATGTGATACAGTGTACCCTCATGGTCTTGCGCCGCTCACTGCCTGTTCCCAGGTTCCTTGTGTGTTTGTTTCTTACGCATCTGTCATGAGATGTTTATTTCCCTTTTCCTCTGTTTCTAATGTAGTTCGTTTGTAGGGCTCATTGTGCTTTTTCTTTTAAAGGCCGTCCTTCAATTTTGAAACCATTGTTAGCATTTGAATGTCTTCAAGTGTAATAGTTGCCACTTTATACATTGTCCTGTTTTTCTTGTTGTTGTTTTTGTTTTGAGACAGAGCCTCTCTCTATAGTCCCCACCCACATTCTGTATATGTATCACAGGAAGGCCAGGGACTCTAGCTCCACCCAGAGTGCTGGGGGGGGGGTGTAGATGGCAATCCAGCCTCTGGTGGTGGTTGCCATAGTTACTCTTTCTCTGCATTGGGAACACAATAAGAGAAAAGCAAGGATATTTAAGGGGTTACTGAATATCTTTGACTTGTTTTTTCCCCCTGTGGGAAAAAAGTAATGTAAACAAATTAATTGTTTCTACCTGTCAGTAAAAAAAAAATACCGTAAGCAAATCAGACAAAATAGCAATTCATCATTTTCAACCCCATTCATTGCATTGGTACTTTTGACTCTAACCGTGGAGTAAATGAAGTGGTGATGGTGAGCTCGTTGGCAGAGGATGGAAGGTATGAAGTAGCCACTTTTAAAATGTGTCTAAGGTGACGAAGATATTTGAGCTGGTAGTGCCGTTATGCCAGAAGCTAACTTTCTCTTACCTACGTAATACTAAAAGAAAACTGAACAACTCACTGTATGTTTGAAGAGTAATACTGCTTCTGCCACTAACACCTCGAGAGGAATAACGTTCTTGGTGGAATCTACTAAAACTGAGCAAAGCTGCCTGATGACCCAGCAGGTTGCACTTTGAAGTTCATTTCCAAGAAAAATGCGTGTAGCACGTACACCCCTAAAAGTGTAGGTGAGCAATGGCTGATTTCCCCATAGGCTCCAAATGGAAGCAACCCAAATGCCCAGTGGTGGTAGAAATGGTTATGTACCTTCTGGCTAAGATCAAGTATGGTATCTCTTCTTATCTGTTTCCAGATTCTTATCAAAAGGCATCATCTCTGTTTTCTTTCCAGGATGGAGAGTATACTCTGTTGGTTTTGGGGATTGCTTTTTTGAGCCTAGCTCTTGAGAACAAATGTTATAAGAATTCATCCCTTTGGCTTTTCCTGAGCTACAGTGTTCCCTCAGGGAGAATATTAGAGAGCTCTGCTGTACTTGGGTATGAGAGATGGGATATCATATATTCACACACGGATAGCTCATCTTTAGATAGATACAAATAGTTGGCATGCATCTCACAGCGGCAAACTGCATTTTAGTGCTCTCCCATGCTTCTTTTTACTTTATGTGTGTTAGTGGCTTGCCTGTGTGTGTGTCTGGGTAAGGGTGTTGGATCCCCTAGAACTGGAGTCGCTATGTGGGTACTGGGGATGGAACCAGCTCATCTGGAAGAGGAGACGGGGCTCTCAACCACTGAGTCATCTCTTCACCCCTCTCCATGCCTCTCATAAAGTTTGCAACACCTTTGTCTAAGTTACTTTCGTGGTTCTTTTGTGTAGAAAGTAATGTATAGTTTGTTTCTTAAGTTATTGTAACCTCAGCTGCTATTCACCTAATGACTGAGACAGATAAACGCTATTCGTCATAACACACTCCATGTTGATGTTTTAGTAATCAGAGGAGGATTCAAGTGTTAGACATGCCTTGAGTATGTGTGTGTAACTGCATACATCCAATTTCCCTCTGATCTGAGACGCTGTGGGTATGATCAGCTCCCATTCCTAGGACTCTTGCTTACATGTAGTAGTTGAGTGCTCTTTCAGTCTGTAAACATGGCAATACATACGTGTTTATGAGACACAAAAGCCCAGCACTACTTCAGAGACTTCATATAGTACTAATGTCAAGAACTGTGGTTTGAAGGAATGATGCTAAAAATCTGGGTTTGGTTTAATGGTTTCTCAGCATGAACTTTTGAGGACTAAGACCCATTTGGATCCTTACAGAAGATCAGTTGGGCTCCTCACGACACCAAAGTGGGAATCTGGACAACTGTTCTTAGTTCCAACCATATGGAGATAAGGTTGTATTTAAAGGATTAATGAGAATTCCTTCTTGTGGCCTTACTCTAAAAGGCTAGAGTCTTATTGAAGCTGTTGTATCTAGATACCATAATAGATGCACTCAGAAATTTGTGGTTCATTTAGCTCTTAAGTGAACCGCGTGATTTCTTATTTTGTGTGTGTGTTTCTTTTGTTTTCCTTTTATTTAGTTTTTTTCCCCTACAGTTTTTCCTGAGTATGATCCCCACTCTCTACTCTGCCCAGTCCCTTCCCACCTCCTGTCCTATCTGGATCCAACCCCATTCTGTCTCTCCTTGGAAAACAAACTGGTATCTAAGGGGTAATAATAAAATAAAATATAATGGGATAAGCAAAATCAAACAAATCAGAATGGGGTGAAACAGACAAACAGAAGGAAGAGAGCCCAAGAAGAGTCACAAGAATCAGATGGAGACTCATCCTGTGCACACTCGGGAGTCCCATAAAGGCATACAACCTAAAGCTATTGTGTGTGTGTGACCTATAGGGTAAGAAGAAATAAATTAAATGAAATAAAAATTTAAAAAGCTATGACCCGACCTTATGAGACAAAGAACCTCCAAAGCTGCCACCGCGTTCCTATTTTGTTGGCCATCTGCTGATTTTCATGTTTGGTTTCAGCACCGCATTTAACTACTAACAAAGATACAGTCGTCTTCACATTTGTTACGGGGCAATTATAAGTCTCTGGTCCTTACAGAGTAGGCACCCATGGACGAGTAAGTACTTCAACCATGGCATCACACTTGGAAGCGTCTGCGTGAGGCGGGCGCTCTGGCTTTGGGGTCAGACCACCAGAGTGTAGGCCGCATCTGTGTGGCAGCTCAGGCCTGGCATGAGCTGGAGTCTTAGTGTGGTTAGTACTGGCGTTCCCCTGCCTAAACTGATGCTTGTCCCTTCTCTTGGTTAGAAATGTATTTGCTTCTGCCAAAGCACACTAAAATGTTTTCATGCAACGGTAGGTTAGCACTTTTTTTTTTATTGTGAGACAATAGTAAATGACACAGTAAACTTATTTCTTCCTAATAGTTAAATCTTGAGAAAATCCAGGGATGGTGAGAAACTAGGTTTGTTTTTGTTTTCCCCTGTAAGTATCACAGCAAAAATAGCCTCTGTAACCACAACATAAAGTTCATGTATGTATAAGCTGTCCATCTTGATTAAAATTCTGAAGGCCAGAATATATTAAAACTGATTAACAGATGTAAACTAGTTTTACTCTGTGTGTAATTGATTAGAATTATGTTTGCTGTTGATTTAGAAATTTTTCATTGAGTATAGCTCATTATTAAAATACCCTGTGATTACATGGCTGAATACAGTTTTTAGATCACTGTGGTAACACCTCATTAAGAAGCCCTGGGAATTTTACATGTGATGAGGATATACCATGTCCCCCTCTCTTTCTGCACAGGACAAGGGTGGTGCCTGTAATTGGAGAGTCACACTTCAGAGTCTCTTCCCTCTCCCAGAAAATCATTTGTGCCCTTCCAGTACCTAGAGGGTCATTTGAGAAAGTCTTCACCGAGAGGCTTTGCTGTTGCTAACATTTGCAGTTTGAAGAAGAAGCCAGTAGTCGGCCCACATAGGGAGTGGGTGGGAAACCGCATTAAACACGGTCCAAAATCTGTAAGTTCTGTATTCACAAACTCCTCAAATCAACACTCGCAGTCAGACTTTGTCTTGGTTTTGTCTTCCAGGGCCAGCCAGGGGACCAGGCTGCTCTCTTCACTACGCAAGCACGGCCCTCCCCTCAGCTCCCTCAGTATCCAGGGCTGCAACAAGCTCAGGTACCCACAATCAGGGCGGAAGCAAAGCTGCTTTCTCGGTGCCTTAGTGCTGTGTGTTGGGAGCAGGAGATCTAGGAGGCTGGGCGTCAACTAGGTCTAGACCGTGCTTCACGATTTCAGAGCAGTAATTGGTCTGAAACTACGTCTTAGGACTGACCAGAAAAATTCCTCAATTAGGAATGTAAACTCAGTTTAGACTCCTTGCCTGCCCATGGAAGATGCTGGGGCATTTGGTCCAAGGTGATGGCGCACACCTGTATCATGCACCCGGGAAGCAGAAGCAGGAAGATCGAGGCCAGCCATGCTTAGGTAGTTCAGACCCTGTCTCTGAATAAATACATCAGTTGTTTACCAGTCTCAGAGTATTCATGATATCATGTCTAATGGCATAGCCTGTTACAGAAATTGTGATATTCAAAGACATCTTCCATGAAGGGAAATCACAGAACAAAATAATGGGCCTTTGAGTCAGGTCACAAATTCAACTGCTGTTGAATTGTGTGATACTCTGGGGTCTAGCTTCCTTTTTGGAAGATCAAGGGGAAAGATGTAGGATTCTAGGTGATGTGTGGAATTGACATACTATCACGTACTCAGTAAATGCTCAACCCATGGTGCGCTTATCCACCACCCCTTAGTAGTTTTATTATTCCGGCACCCTTACAGCCTACTCTTTTACACAAAGAAGTCTGTATGACCAGACTCGTGTTAGGGCCGGCAGTTCATTCCATGTATTCAGCTGAAAGGGGAACCATGTTTGGCTGACTCGGGACCTGGGCCTGGGGTCCTATAGGCTGTTGCCTGTCTACTGGCTATCATTACCTTTGTCTTCAGGGCCACAGTTGTTAACCTGCTTTAATAGGTGGTGCTTTGAGGTTCCCGAGAAGAGACAGCGCTCTGTCCAGTGAATTGTCTCTGGTGATCCAGAAAGCTCCATGTTTGTCTTTGACTTCTGTGTCAAGGTTTAGAGGAACAGGTACTTGTTTGAATGGGAAAGCTCACTCCGTTACTGTAATGTTCACTGGGCCATGTTGCCTTGCCTGGCCAACTCTGGAGATGGTGCTGATACTGCTTATGAATGTGTAGCTACCTTGCTGGTTGTTTCTGTATAGAGAGATGCCTTTCTCAGCTCGAAACTAAGCAACCCAACTTAAAAGCCGAATGAATAGTCACTTGTTTTGGACTAGAGGTGTCTGCAAATCATTGCCCAAGCAGTCTATCCTGTGGCTAGATTTCTTGCCTGCAGAGTAGCCATCCACGTGTTTTGAGTCATCAGAGCCTGTATGAACCATGAATTTCAGGTTGGACCTCCTGGGCTCTCCCAGTCCCCGACCTCCCCCCCCCCCCCCGACCCCCGTCCCCAGATTTCTTTCTTTCTTTCTTTTTTTTTTTTTTTAGATATTTTTTATTTTTAAATTTAAATTAGAAACAAGGTTGCTTCACAAGTCAGTTCCAGGTCCCTCTTCGTTTCCCTCCCCTCTTCCCATGCCCTCCCACCAACCCCCCCTAATATCCCCTCATTTCCCCAGGGAGCGTGAGGCCCTCCATGGGGGTGTCCATAGTCTGTCATTTCATCCAGGGCAGGGCCTAGACCCTCCCCCAAGATTCCAGGGTGAGAGTGCATCTCTCATTGTTGGATGGGAGTCCAAATTCCATGTGTATACTCGGGATAAATACTGATTTACTACCCAAGGCTCAATAGATTACCTAGGCCTCCTCACTAACATCCACATTCAGGGGTCTTGATCAGTCCCATGCTGGATTCCCAGGCATCAGTCTGGGATTCAAGAGCTAAACCTTGTCAGGTCAGCTGTTTCTGAGGGTTAAACCAGCCCAGTCTTAACCCCTTTGGCCATCAGTCCTCCCTCTCTGTCACTGGATTTCTTGAGTTCAACTCAGTGCTTAGCCATGGGAGTCTGCCTCTTCTTCCATCAGCCACTGAATGAAGGTTCTGTTTCCCAGACTCTCTGGCCATGGGATTGTAGGCTGGCACTCCCCAGATCTGTATCTAAAATCCATATATATGAGTGAGTACATACCATGCTTGTCTTTTTGTGACTGGGTTACCTCGCTTAGGATGGTTTCTTCTAGTGCCATCCATTTGCCTGCAAATCTCAGGATTCCGTTGCTTTTTTCTGCTGAATAGTACTCCATTGTGTAAATGTACCACATTTTCTCTATCCACTCTTCGGTTGAGGGACGTCTAGGTTGCTTCCAGGTTCTGGCTATTACCAATAATGCTGCTATGAACATACTACGGGTGCTGGTTGGGACCTTGACTTCTTCCTTTGTGCCTCCCCTGCAGACCCTGCCCCAGGGTTACACCATGTACGGAACGCAGCAGCAGCAGACACCTCTGCAACCACAGGCGGCTCCGCAGCAGCAGTCTGGCGGTGGCATGGTCCTTTCCCCCAGCTACAGCTCCAGGGCCTACCCGGCTGCGCACTCCAGCCCGGCGCTGATGGAAAGACTGAGACAGCTTCAGCAGCAGCCGAGCGGCTACGTGCAGCAGCAGGCGTCGCCGTACCTGCAGCCCCCCGTAGCCGGCTCCCAGAGGTGATACCTGTTGAAGTAATTGCAATAGTAAAACCCTCTCGGCCTTGGGTTTGTGACACGTCTTCCAGGCATTTGATAACTGTGACCTTTTTTTTTTTTTTGAGCTCCTATATTTGCTTCCCGACATCTCTTTTTTTGTTTGTTTGTTTTTGTTTTTGTTTTTAATCAACACGCAGTAGAGGTTCCAAATTCTTTCATTCAAGGACGTTACTTTTGACTCACGCCTTCTCTTGTGGGCTGCCTAAGGTTTTCCAGTGTGTTGTTAGTCTAGAGTTCTTTCTTTGCCCCCCCTTTTTTTCTCAAAAGATTTTTTTTTTAATTAAAAGTATCCGAGGAAACCATTGACCGTTGTTAGCAGTGCCTTTACTAGGCTTTGCTAACTGGACCCATGCAGTTTTTTTTTTTCTTTTTGTCATTGTTGTTGCAGTACTAATTATATTTGGTGCCCGACAAAGTTTCGATACAACTTAGTTGTTAACCCTGTCCACCTCAGCGCCGACTCACGGCCGAGCTTCGCCGTTTGGTCCTGATTTAGTGGGTCCCGCCCACACAGGGCGTGTCTATGCTGCCCACTGCTGTAGCCGCTGTCCATGCATTGGCTGACTTTAAACGCATCAAGATTGGCTTCACATTTAGCTCTGCAGGCACATTAGTCACATTCCAAGTGCTCACCGGCCACCCGTGGCCAGCGTGGCTAGCTTTGAGGCTCGTGGTCTCTGTAGAGGACACGGAAGACCTGGCGTTTACGGAAGCCCCGTGCTTCAACTAGATGCTCCGTTCATCTCTTGAAATCCCGTTGTTTTGACCAAGGAACCTTCGGTTTTGTTTAGGCCTAAGATCTGATAATTGCGTAACTAGCCCTAGTGACTAAAGGCCATTTCATTGGACGGCACAGATAAAAATCATTATCATTCATCATATGACCTAGTCCCGTTGGATAGTACAGTTGAGAAAAGTTAGGTTTGTATAGTTCTGCACCATGTAGTGGAGAGGCACTGGGCTCCCACGTGTTACTGTCAGGGACTACCTACATGTCTGCCCCAGGTATTTACTCTCTGAAAATTAGGAAGGTAGATGTAGCACATTGTGGGAAATAAGCTAATTTGTAAAACACACGTTACATTTTGCATTTTTGTCACAAACAGCAGCTTATCAAAGTTCAATAACTTGAGCTTCAGTGCTCAACGATTCTGGTTTCAAATCCCACCTGTGCCATCTGTTTTCTGAGTGACCCTCAGCGATTTCCCTATCTCCATCCCCTGGTTTTTTTTTTTTTTTTTTAAGGTTAGATAATACAACGGCTGACCTCATAGGGCTACATGAGGAATAATGAAATAGCTGTTGGTCAGCCCTTCCACTTGTGGCCTGCCCCAGAGTAAATGTTAACTTAATTCACTTACTGCTAACAACATTTTTTTTAGAAGTAATTTCTGTCTGGTTACTACTTGGCCAAAAAGTAGTATGCTTACTATCTTCTTTCTTTCTTTTTTATTTTTTCTTCTTCTTCAATGTGGTCAGATCTATCTTTTATCTGATCCTCTGGCCTTGTCCCATTTTTAACTGTACACATGATGACTGAACACGAATTGTTTCTTGGTGGATGTGTGTAAGATGCTGGAGGCTCTGATTGACACGTCAATGGTACGCCCGGTTCCTGAACACAAGTTGCATTATTCTTTGCCAGACTGAACCACCAGGCTCTACAGCAGAGCGCTCTGGTGGGCGGGGGAATTGATGCTGTGCTGACTCCCGCACATCCCAACCTCCCCTCGGTGCCCCTGCCTCAGGACCCAATGAGGCCCAGACAGCCGCAAGTTCGACAGCAGCAGAGACTCCTCCAGGTATGGGGCAGGGAGGTGAGGGCAATGCCATCCCTTCCGGTAGTGCAGACCCAGAGCTCTCGTTAATGAAAGGACACTTTAGATTGAAGCAGTGAGTCCCAAGGAGCCCCGTGTGCTTGACACCAGCCACTTAGCTAGTACACTGCAGTTCCAAGAACGAGGAGTTTTCTCGTCAATCTGTACCTGCCAGGCCATGGATGGATGGGCTGGAGGCTCCATTTCCCAAAGCTTTGTGGGGAGGCCCTGTAAATGCCCTAGCTTGAACATGAACCTCTGTTTGCCCAGTCACGAACTGACTAAGGGCCTACAGTTTGAGTACAAAATTTCATCTACAAGAGGGAGAAATAGACGGGAACAAACACTGCTTACAGCCGCTTCCTTGATGTCCTTAACTCTGCTTTTAAGCCACGGGGTTAGAGAAGTAGAGATTGCATAATCTTGAGGGCTCTGTGTTAGACCCCCACCGAGCTACCGTTTGTTTATCCCACACAAACACTCGAGACTGCAAGATAAACATCCCCTCCCCTCAGCAGCATGCTCTTGAGTCTGACCTCCTTGTTCAGGCCAGACTGTGGATGGAAGAAGTGACCCCCAGCTAAAGGGCCCGCCTGGAGTGCACGGGGGCCCTGGGTCTAATCCCCAGCACTGCAGAGAAGAAGGGAAGGCAGACAGGATGATGATGATGTTAAATCTGTGCCAGTTTTTTTTTTTCATCGTTAATGAGCGATGTTTCTGTGTTGGAGACGTCTTGCTAAGACTGGTAAAGTGGACTCTCATTTCCAGTCCAAAGTGAGACGCAGCTTTATTTCATGCGCTCACATAGACACACTGGGAAACGTGCAATCCAGTGGACAGGCAATGTCCGAGGGAAGAGCCGTCTGTGCTCTGCGAGCTAAACAGGCAAGAAAGCTGTCACGCAGAAAGGAGCACAAAGGAAGCTGTGTCTCAACTCATCCCTTGGGATAGAGAAAAGGGAAAAAAAAAATAGTTCCACTAAGAGCTGAAGCCGTAAGCCCAAGGGAAGTTGAAGTCTGAATGTAGTATGATCTACAGAATCGATGGCACCTAAGGATAACAAGGAGAAGTCACGACAAGCCCTCTAGAACTGGGCTCCAATTTATAAGGTGGCCATGACCACATCCTCCCTTTGGATATAATACCTTAAAAGTTATGTGTTATTGATAACATATGGTAGCTGATTTGAATCAGTGTAGCCTACCACTGTGTTCATTGTATAGATGCTATTGTCAAGGTGGGGGAAAAAAAACCCAAAACACAAGAAGCCTACTCTTGACTTTTGTCATTAGTAAAGTGGAAAGATTATTTACCTGTGCACTGAGAATTAAATAAAACAAAAATTCAAGTAAAGCACTGGTTTGATATTATTTCCAGCATTTTTATTAAGACAGCTATTAAACAGAATGATAAGTTCTTAAACCACCCTTCTACAAGTTTGGTAATATTTTTCAGGACAGCTATTTGAATGCCTCTGTTTTTAAGACTTGTTGCCTCCAACTCACCAAGGATCCTTGCTGAGTTGCTCACTTACCACCCTCTGCCTCCCAAGGGCATTTTCAAGGTTGCAAATGAGCCATCTCCTGAGTAGGTAACATGCACCTTTTTCCCTGTTAGCATGCCTGGTAATATCTCTTATCAGCAGTATCTCCCTTGGAGATAAAGAAAGGAAGGTGATTTGTTCCCGTGTCTGAACTACATTTATTCCTGTTTTTATGATTGGCTGTTGGCATTAAAGGGAAAAGTCAGCCACTGAGAAGTTCATCTTTCTGGAAGGGTTTTTGCAGAGAACCAAGTGGGTTGTGGCTTCATATTTGCAGTGCTTCTGATTCTGCCCGCACTGCTTATGTTGAAACTTCTCTGCCTGGGCCTCTGCTGGGATGCCAAATCTACACGCATTGCAGATCTGGGAGTAGCTGTTTATTGTTTTCACTCTTTTAAAAAAAAAAGTCAAATAATTTGGGGAATAATATGCAGACAAAATTGGAAAAAACGTATATTGTGACAATCAAGTCGGGGTCATCAGAATAGGGTATTTGGATGGAGTAATTAAAAGCCACTGAGAGAAAAATACATATTTTGCCTGCCTACCTGGTGCATACATGGTTTCTTCTGTGACTTAGAATCATTTTCCAAGAGCTGTGTATTTGAGCCGGCTTAGTCTGGACATGCTTTCTAGTTCCATGTGGTAGTTTTATCTCAAGATTTCTATGGGCTAGTTTTATATCCTGTAAAAAATAAAAATAAAAATGGGCTCCTCAGGGGTCCCCCAAATATCACAGAGAAGATAATTGCTGCTTGTTGCTTGTGTTACCTGGCAGAGTGAGATATAGGGAGCTCGTGGGTGGCCAGGCAGAGGATGAGAGAGAAGCTGTAACAGTTAAGTGCACAGAATGTCCCTGGACAGTGAGCACCGGCTACCACACAATGTACATTTCTGTCAGTGGCTGTCTGATGTGACAGTGACCCCTTCAGATTGTAGCCGAAAGACCGCCTTTACTCCATGACGTCACAGCCTTCATTAACATATCATAGCATCCTCACAGCTCACTGCCAATGTGTTTGGGTATTTCTGGCATAAAGAAACGTTATCCCACCGCCAGTTACTTAAAAACATCACGATAGTTAAGGTGAAGTGCTTCAGACTAGAAAATAACCACCCCACCACCACCACCACTCCCATCCCCACTGCGCCCTGTGTGTGTCTGCTTATTATTCCCTGTACTCTGTATTGTTGATTTGGAGCATAACCCCACCTGTCGACACACCTGGCATTACGAGAGGCGCGTGCCACAGCAGTAGAGCACTTGCCCAGGATGCATGAGGCCCTGGGTTGAACGATGAGCACTAGGGGGGAAGCAGTCTATGGTAAGGCAGTGTGCCGTGCTGCAGCAGCCTTCTGCATCTTGCCTTTTCCATGCATCATTTATCTCGTACCTACTTCAGCCCCATTTCATAAGCTATCTAGTGGACAGCACAGCCGGGGGCGGGGGGGGAGGGTGGCTGGATACACAGCCCCTGTTTTCTTAAGTACACGACGCAGGGCTCAGACAATGCAAGACAGTCACCTGTGCCACATTGCTGAGCCTGTGCCCCCCACCGTTTCGCTGTAGTGGGATAGATAAAAATGCGCATCAGTAAACACGGTTCAGATGTGTCTCCGCCCACAATTTCAAGGGTCAACCGTGATCTTCTTTCTTTCTTTCTAGATGCAGCAGTCCCAGCAGGCCCCCCAGCCCCAGCAGCCCTCACAGCCCCAGAGTCAGACCCTTGGTCTCCAAGCAATGCAGCCCCAGCAGCCTTTGGTAAGGGCCTGGTGTTTTGCAACAGGGATATGGGCTTTTCCTTCAAAGCAGATGCCGTGGTCCTGAGTCATGAAATTTTAAAAGTGAAACAGTCAGAATGTACCCAGCCAGCTCCCGTATCCCTCTGTCAGGGTTTTGTTGGTTTAGTAGTTGGCATATTAGTTATTTGTTCTTTAATGAATAGTTAATAGACACTAGTAAACGTTTCAATATGCCACAAACATTGTGCTTTAATGAATAACACTATTTTACTTTTTGGAAAACAAATTGCAGAGCATTCAATGGATTAAAAACCTTACCAGTGAGACATTAGAACACTTTCTATAAACAGTAAAGAATGACTTCATATATATGTAAAAGATTATCTCACTTAGATATTTTTTGTAACATTCTTAGAGAGCATGAAAGTCCCTCGTAAAATATGGCCTTAATAATGAAACCAAATCTGTTTTTATCCAGTTAGCATTTTCTGCAAGAATTTGCACATTGTTCAGAGTCTGCAGTCCACGCTTCTTTAACTTTTCAGATTGAATTTGGGAACACGTACCTAATGCAGATGTTTTGAAAGCTGCAGTGATTTTTTTTTCAATGCCTTGTTCTCTGTTTTGCCTGAGGCTTGTAGGTTGCTGTCCTCCTGGGACCCTGGGAAGCACCAGTGTAGGAGGAGGTTGTCACCACCATGGGGACTTGAAAACCAGCTTCACAAATCTGTCATGAAGAAAAGTAGCCTGGAAGCCATGGCAGCACATTAGCAAGGGTCTATGGAATTACCTGGTTCAGCCTGGACCCAAGCAGGAGTCTCCAGTGATATCAGCCTAGGAGGGAGCCCCCTAGTGTATAGCACCTGCTGCTTTGGTGGGCTGAGTCATCCCAATTTTTTTTAGTTCCTTTATGCCAAGATTCTAGCTTCTCCAGTTTTGAATATTTTTGTTTTAAAAATGTTTATGACATTCATTGCAATCTACTTTGATAATTTTGTTTGTTTGTTTTAAGTAGAGGTGGTATGAAGCTTGCCCCTTTGTTATCAGGAGCCTAAAGCTGGCTTTTTAGAAATGAAAAAAAAAAACCAAACAAACAAAAAACAAAAGACAGCAACAGCAAAAACAAAAAACAAACCAAAAAAAAAAAAAAAAAAGACCTCCAGATGGAATACTTCTCATAGGTCCAGCGTTCGACTCAGAAGTTAGTTCTAACTGGTTTTTGACATGGCTTCAAGCCCACAGAAAGGTTGTAAGAACAGTACAGAGAAGCTGCCTGGACCTTTTATCTGGAATCAGTGCCTTTATCCACATCTGCTTTATGATGCACTCTCGTCCTCGGATTTCTCCTGGTCCCCACATACCATATGTATATATGCCATAGCCATGTGCCTCTTTAAAGCTAAGTATCCTAAATATTTCAGCTTGTTTGTCTTCTTTTCCCTTAGAGCAAGACGGATGGGGTTGTAGTTCAGTGGGCAGAGTGCTTGCCCCTCGTGAGTGAGGGCTGGGTTGGATCCTTAGTGTGGCAAAGCAAGCAAACCCACAAACACAGGACTCCCTGGTTGTGATTTCTGAAGTCAGGAAGTTGAGCACGGGTGCGATGTTGTGATGTGTCAATGTGTTTTCGGGGATCACTGCCGTGGGGGCCCAGTGTCCTCCACCGCCTGCGTTTTCCTGACTCCGCACCATCATACACTGTTTAAATTCCGTGTCTCCCTTTCCGGTGTGGGGTTCACAGCAGTCCTACATGCCCCGCACTTTGTCTCAGTGATGATGGGGCAGTTATTCATTTTCCAAATGTTGCTCCGCCCCATGTCTGTATTGAAGAGACGCTGCCCTCCCCGACCAGTACATCACAAGCGTATTCATATAGTCGCCGTGGAGGTGGCGCCTGGTAGTTTCCCACCACAAAGTTACCAACTGCTCGTTTTTAAGTGATGTGTGGGAATGGTTTGATCCCATCTCTCCTCCTGCCCCTCAGACACTCACCCACCGGTGCTGGCAGTGGCTAACTGCCCTTTTCCATGTCTGCCGTAGGAGAAAAACGCTTGCTTTCAAATGTCGCCGTTTGTTTTTTACTGATGGTATTCTACTCAAAGGAAGAATTTCCCCTTTGTTGCTTGTCTATCTTTAAGTCGTGTTTCAAACACAAGGAAAGGCTTTTAAAAGGTTTTGTTGGTTTTGATTGTCTGTGCATTTGCGCGTCTGAGCGTTGGGTTGTGCGTTGGAGTGCGCAGAGACTGGAGATAAAGGCAGTTATGAGCTGCCTGAAGGGACCTGGGTGTTGAGAGCTGAACTCAGGTCACGCAGAAGAGCTTAATGCTGAGCCATCTCTCCATCCCCAGAAAGCATGGATGAAAAGCGAAATCTAGCATCTGACCCCTTTGATTTTTAAAAAAATTTGCCACCACAAGGAGCTGTTTAAGTTCTCCTTCCAACTTCAATATAGCATCAGTTAGATGAGATTTGCCGATTTAAAAATCTTTCCTAAGGCTGAAGATGTTTAGTGGCGGGGAGCCCTTGCCCAGCATGCATAAGACTCTGGGTTTGATCCCCAAGACTGTAAAACAATAAAAGCTGTTCTTTCTGTTGAGTAGGTTATTATGTCAGGCAAAGAAAAATGTCAGGGTAGCGTCAGTGTTTTCTTTCTGTACACGACACCTTCTAAAGGTGTTTTGACAGAAAGCCAAAGTTTCTGCAGAAAGCTCATGTTGAGAATTTGGAACATCTGATGTTGAGTGGGAGAATCCTAAATCTTTATCCTAAAGTAAAACAGAGACCCTCAGGCTGTGGTTTGTGTGTTGCTAACAGTATTATGTGTGTGACACTGATGGAAGTAACTATCGCATAATTATGCCTTTCTAGTGATTTATGATGCAAATGAAGCCTTTAATATCAGTGTAAGGAGCCCAAAAATTTGATAATGGTAACTTGTATAGCTAGTAATTGCTAACGAGAAAATGATTGTACAGTACTATTTGAACAAAAACACAAACTTTAAATTTAGAGCTACAATTATTATTGAATATATGATAACTACTGCATATTTTAAGCTCGTGATTCAGATATGTAATTAAATGAAATATGCATGCTGTGTTCCTCACAAATAATAAAATTCACATATTTAAATTACCTATAGTTATTTATATTTAATCTATGTTTTTTCTTACAATGGAACTTTAAACATCCAGTTACACAAATATATGGCTGCCACCCTGAGATGTGTCATTGTTACTTTAAAGAACAATGGCTTTAGGAGCTGAGGAGATGGCTCATTTGGGAACGTCCTTGTCACAAAAGCAGGAGAACACGACTTCAGATGTCCAGCACCTACTTGCAAAAAGCTAGGCATGGCGGTATGTGCCCAGAACCCCAGCACTGGGCAGGTGGAGACAGCAGGATTGCCAGAGCTCACTGGCCCATCAGCCCAGCCATTGGCAAGCAACAGGTTCACTGATGGCAACTGTAGAGAAATACAGGGGAAACGTGATAGAGGACAGCCATGATGTTGACCTCCGTCCTCTGCATTTGCGCTTGTTTAGGGAGTGGGTTGGCGTTTGGGTGAGAGATTCTCTCCTACCTGTTACTAAATATTAGCTCAGTTAATATGTGGGTGTGGTATATGATGTCTCGGTTGTTTTTCTGTTGCTGTGAAGAGACACCATGACGAAGGCAACATAGAGCAAAGCGTTTCTCTGGGGACACGCACACAGTCCCTGAGGCTGAGTCTAGGGCCCTCATGGTGAGAGCTGAGCGCTAACACCCGATCTGCCCGCCAGAGGCCGGAAGAGAGCACAAGACTGGGTATGGCATGGGCTTTGGAAGTCTCAAAGCCCAGTAAACGTATCTCCTCCAAAAAGGCCACCACCCCTCCTAATTCTTCATAAACAGTCCACCGACTAGGAATCAGCCATTCAAATATGTGAGCCTATGGAGACCAGTCTTATTCAAACCACATTTGAGAAATATAAAAGGATTTGTGGAAGGTATAGCATTAGCTCTGTTCATAGCGTGTGCTGGATGGCAGTACCGAATGCCTTAACTGTAGAAGTTCCTTTGTGTAAGGTAAACGAAGACACTTCATTCTGTTACTAAACTGTATTTGTAGGCCTAGAAGGAAATTTTCTTTTAACCTCCCAGTTGTAGTTTGAAGCAGCAATAGAGTTGTGCGAAATCATTGAAGACAGCCCAGTGACTTCTCTAGCACTGAGGCCATAGCTCATCAAAGGGAATACTCAGACCACAGTTCTGTAAATATTTAACTGAGCTATCGTGTGTAAAGAACGTGGAGACGTAATAAGGATTTCTAAGGCAGTACTGGTGATTTTTAATGATATAGATTGTGTTTGACCCACCATTGGCTTCACACGCTACCTTCCCAAGGGCTGAGCAGGTAATTCAGACCATGAAAGATGACAGTTTTCCTCGTTTTGCTCCTGAGAAAGTGATTTCAGAGAAATTAAATTCTTTGTTAATAGTAATTTAATGGAGATACATAGTGGGTGTTTACATTTTTTTCCTTTTTAGAAGAATGATTTAAATTCTTACTGAGAAACACAGTATTGTTTCAATAGAGATCAATCTCTCATAATTAATCCAAGCAGGAGTTATAGCACAGGGAGAAAATGGTGTGTGTGTGTGTGTGTGTATGAGTGTGTGTGAGTCTTAGGATGGGCAAGGAAGCTTAACATGTTCAGATCTAAGTTCAGTTTCAGCATTAGAAATTGTAGGATTATAGGAATGTTCACATCATAATTCTTTCTTAGGTACACTTTATACAGTACGCTTGGGTACCTATGCTATATATGTATTTATTTATTAGTTGTGAGCCTTTAACAATGGAGTCTTCTCTTTACCATTAACACCTCCCCCTTTGAGACAGGGTCCCACATAGTTCTGGCTGTCCTGGATTTCACTAGCTCAGGCTGGCCTCGAGCTATCAGAGATGCCTGCTTCCGCCTCCGCAGTGCTGGGATTGAAAGTAGGTGATGACACTGGATACACACATACTTTTAAATTATTGTGATGATGTAGTTGTGTTTTTCAGTTGCTGAACAGTTCCTCGGCTGTTAAAAAAATTGGACTGTGACTGTTGCCAATTTCAAAAATAGTACTGTTAAAGGTATTTTGGTATGTATTCTATACCTCTTTCCGGTTGCCTCGTAATAGAAAACAAATGTGAAACTATTCTTTAACTACTCGTGTAGGTCAATGACAAGGACACAAGGTCTCAGCAATTTTAAGGCGGGAAAAATTCACAAATTTCCCCTGTGATGACTTTCACTGCGAGTCTCTATTTCTAAATGCCTTGGATTCTATTCATAATAACCATCTCTTGTCCCGGGCCTGCTCTCCCATCCAGTTCCTGTCTTTGGAGAAGAGGGTGGTGAGCTGGATGTTGAGGAGAGGTGAGCTCGGACCCCTCCAGGGTTCTGACTGATGCTGCCTGAAGGGAGGAGTAAGTCGCAGTCGCCGCCCTCCCGGTGACTTGCCCTGCTGCTCCCTGTGGGCCGGAGGTGCAGTGGAATCCAGTAAGTTCTGATTCGGTGTGCTCAGTAGAGGCCAGCGCCCTGTCAGGTGTTAGGGAGCCCGCCATGCAAGGGCCAAGTGTGCTTTGACACCAGGGGACAGGGGACAGCAGGAAATGGCTGGCGGGCAGGGCTGTACGTGGCGGGCAGCATGCAGTGGCTGCATATTTCTAGTTGCAGAGCGTCAGACGTTGTTGTGGTTTGCTAGGACTGTTGTACGAGCTGCATGAGCTTAGGTCGCTTAAAAGCGGGGATGTTCTTCCTCCCTGTTCCCGCGGAACCGGGAGTCAGCGATGTTGGTCCCGTCTGCGGGTTGGTGGGCGAGCCTGCCCCACAGCTCTGCCCCAGCCTCTCCGCGCACTAGCTGTCTTAGCGGCCAGGCTCTGCTTCCTCGTCACGTGGCTGACCCACTGTTTGCCCCATGTGCCCACGTGTCCCTTCCTATGAGAAGACCTCTCTCCTGTATTAGACTCCATTATGACAAAGTTCATGCGGACTTGGACTTGGTTCCTTCTGGAAAGGCTCTCTCCCTCTCTCTCCAAGGGAGGTCACAATCGGAGGTCCTGGGCTTTAGGACTGTAGCTTTTTTATTCTGAATGATATAGTTGAAGCCTTAACGGAGATCAAGAGATAGACAGATTTGGGGAGCCTCTGGTGGAAAGCTTAAACGTAAGTGATCTTGAAAGGCAGGATCTGATCTGTTGCCTTTCGGCTATTACCTCCGTTGGTCTCCTTTAGTTGGCGCCATCAGCTGGGGCATGGTAGGCAGTGACTACCAAAACCCTTGGCCAAGTTGATCCCTGTAATAAAGTGTCTTTAAGGTCAATTCTGCCTTAGGACAGAAATCATCTCTTCTTTAAGCTGTCATCAGGAAACGTTTCTGGGAAATGAAATGAAATGTTAAGAAACGCCCACGACCCTCAGTTACGTGTGCTAACAACTTAGAATCCATGCTGTGTCCTTTGTCTTCTGTGAAGGGAGGACAACTAGCAGCGACTCTGCCCTTTCTGGGGAAGTGGGTCTGGTATCTCAACCTTTGTCATAATTGAAGCCACTGACGTACAATCTTTTTAAAGTTTATATGTTATGATTAAATTACTTTTGACTACACTTGACAGGTATAGCTCATCTTTTCCTTCAAGCTGCTTTCAACATTTAAGAAGATAATATTCACCCCATGCTACTAAAACTTTTCATCTTATGATGTCTTTAATCAGATGACCTGAAATACGGTGGTCCTTAGGTGAGGGTCCTATTGTATTGAATTTTGCCTTTCAAAAATACACATGACAGCTGCCTTAGTTAATAATTACTGTAACTTTGACCAGCAGCCACAGGCAAAAATAGCATACTGGTCTTCTTCAAGAAACTCTTTTGTTCTATTCAGAGAAACGGAGATGATTCTCAGAATGCCCTTGGGATTCAGAATCCAGATGACACAGCGCACATCTGTATCGTGAGAGTATTAGCAGTAATGACTCATACTCCTTTGTATTCGTTGCCCGAATTCAAATACTACTGAAAATGCAAGAGTAATCAGCCAGAGATGACAAGAGCAGACATCCGGCTCTTTCCATGTGTTCTATATAAAGCAACCATGTGGATGCTTGACTTCAGAAGTACAATGGGGATAGGACTTGGGGAGGGGGGTGTAAAAGCCAGCCCTACGTGGCATGGTGAGAGTTATCCTTTGCCACACACGGAATTCCAAAAGTACCTGTCCCAAACAGTTTTGAACAAATTTAGGATATTCAACCCTACATCAGATTAAGCATGGCAGTATGTGCTTATAATGCCTGGTATAGTGCCTGGCATGTTGAAAGAATTGTTAAGTAGGATTCTGCAAAAGTATAGAAAGAGTTGAATTAAAAAAAAAAAGTACTTACCTTATGACTTTCCCCTATTAAGGAATGCTTTTTAGTCTGTTTCCCCAAAACTGTATTGGAAATGGCATATCAGCTTTTGGTGTCATACACACTTAAGAGTCAGCTTGGCAACGCCTTCTAAATTAAACTTTCAGTTATATTCGAATTTCAGACAAGCAGTTAGCGAAAGAGTTATCTCAAATCTTCTGTTGGGCTGCTTGGACTCAGTGCAGTTTTGTCACATGAAATATTAAATATTAGTGAAGTAAAAATTATCCATTGCTTATCCAAAATTAGCATCTAGCTGTGTGGTCTGAATTTTTATTCCCTACACCGCTAACAATCCTAGGCTACTTTCGGGTCCTACCGAGGATCTCCAAGGAAGACACAATCATGTTGCATTCACAGTTCTCATTGAGAATGGTCTTTTTTTTAAAAAAAGACTCCTCAGAGGTGTGAGCCAGGCCAAGGAAAAGCAACTCAAACGTGTTGCGGGCCTATCAGGCCTCTAAGCCTCCTGGAGGCAGACAGAGTGGAGATGGAGAGAGCCGGGCTACCTCGGCCTCCGTGCCCTGGATACGTTTGGCCAGCAGAGAGCTGCTGTTGGAAAGGCCTGCAGAGGAAGGCTGAGCTTCACGGAGCTCCCTCCTTCCTAGCCGGGTTCTGCCCCTACCATTCCGTCCCCTGGGGTGCTCTCTAGGGTGCTGTGCCAACCTGCTCAGCGCTTCTCCGCAGAGAGACTAGCAACCAGCACAGACTGGGGTCAGTGGGAGGGGACCAGCACTGTGCATGACTAAGAGTGGGGGAGGCTTGTTTCAGAGCATCCCGATTGTTTCCAGGCAGCAAGAGGGTAGCCAAGGAAGACAGAAGGGAAAACGGGAAAGAGCACCGGTCTGGCATCTGCAGTTAAGGGATGACACAGTACGGCCGGGGATTGCAATAAAAAAGAATGTTTTCGTCTACCAAATACTGGTCCATCCCCCTCCACCCTTGGACGCCTGCCACAGTTTCTCATGTGAGCTTGAGGGAGAGAACTGCGGCGTGAGTCCCTGGTATCATACTTCTGGTCTTCCCTCACACAGCACTAGGAGAAGCCCCTAGACCCCTCAAGTTGGAGCTCCTGGTGTCCAGCCCTGCTCGCCCTGCCCGCCCTGCCCTGGCTGTCAGGTGGAGGCCAAGGCCCAGATGAGGCTACACCAGTGCATGCTCTGCCTCCCAGGTTCCGCTCTGTCCATGTGGCCCCTTGGCGTTGGGCAGATCTCCACACCAGACGACTCTCCCATTTTGCCTGAGAGAGGCTCAGGCTGTTGGGATCGGCCGGCGAAGCATGAGATAGCAGTGGCCCTCGAACAAGTAGGGCCGCCTCCTCCGTAGTGTGCACTTCGAGACTCAAAAAAAAAAAAAAAAAAAAAAAAAGCAAATGCCCACACGAAGGGCACTGCGTACCAACTGCGTAATGAGTGCGCTGTGGGCAGGGGCAAGCTTCTCCACACTGGGCATGATGAGCCTTCTCTCTTTAAGCACGCTGATAGTGGGTTAGACAGCCCAAGGTGCAGCCCGGGCCTTGCGTAGCACGGAAACGCTGATTCAGGCTTCCCCTTGTTGCAATTGCAGTTCCCCAGGCAAGGCTTGCAGCAGACCCAGCAACAGCAGCAGACAGCCGCCCTGGTACGACAGCTCCAGAAGCAGCTTTCTAGTAAGTACCTCGCGTGGAGCTGGGGGAGACCTGGGAATCAGCAGCCACAAGCCTGAAGGACGCAGCGGTGAACTCCTCAGAAACCGCGCTGTGTCCTCTGCACCCAGTGCTTTAGTGCAACCGCACTGTGTCCTCTGTTTCATTGCGCTCTTGGCAATAAAGTTTGCTTTGAGTCAGGGGGGCGGAGCTAGCCACTGGCTGGTGAGAATTAACCATAGAGGTTTTGGAGGACTGGAGACAGGAGACAGGAAGTAGTGGGGGGAGGGCAGAAAGAGATCACGGCCCTTTGGGGTTGAACAACTGGAGAGGAGGTCACTGGTAGCTTCTTCTGCTTCCCTGATTATTCAGGTTCTAACCCCCAGTATCTGATTCCTGATCTTTTTGTCGATAAACAATAATTAGATAAACTCTCCAGTACCATTTTTAAGTATGTTTCTCCTTGAAATAGAATTAAATCACTTTCCCTCCTCCCTTTCTTCTGTTCTGGCATACATGAGAATTTTTTAGTCTTCCAATTAGCCTTGCTTAATTTTGGTTACATGAAGTAAAATAAAAAAAAATTTCCTACCTGTTGCTTAGTAGGTATGCTCTATTAAATAATCTGTGATTAAAACAATAAAATAGTGAGATTTTAGAGCTAAAATTCTTGCTGAGAATACAGCCCGGGAGGTAGAGATTGTCTTTGTAGTATTCAGAATCAGTCCTGAGGAGATGCGTGTGGCTCTGAAGAGTGTGTCTGCTTGCTCCACTGTCTACCGTAGGCTGGAACACAGCTCTTGAACACTTTTGATGAGTCAGTGCCTGTAATCCCAAGGTCTGGTGTTGACAAGTGTGAGAGATTCTCACATGGAGCTGGCCCCTGTGCAGAATACATTTGTTCATACTTTGTGACTATTGGCCCAGGGTTAGCCATTTGGTCTGTACCCCCATCACGGGAGGCTGTCCCCGAGAGGAGCGCCAGCGAGGAAGTGTTATCTGCCAGCACAAGCTTGCCCCTGTAACTGTTAACTTTGCTTTTCCCCCAGGTAACCAGCCACAGCAAGGAGTGACTCCCTGTGCGCATCCCTCACACTTTTGAGTCTGAAAAAGAAGACGTGACGTTTATGTTTGCACTGAAAGACAGAAAATCAAATCTAGTAGTTATCATACGACATCTCCTTTTGGTCTTTTGAGTTATTTATGCTTCCCTATTTTATGCTACATTTCACGCAGAGGTATTTAAATAAGTAACGACGTTGTGGTTAGGTTTTTATCATATTCAAAGTAGGTTTCACAATGGGGATCGTGCAGGCCTACTCCAGATAGTGTGGTAGCAGACCTTTTGAAACTGGTGCTTTTTTATCTCATATTTACATAAAGAATGAATCATGGTAGGTTTAAATATTTATGTATTAATTAATGATTTTTTTTTTAAACCTGTGGTGGACCAAACCACTGCTTTGAAAGATGTGGAGGTTCTCACAGGAGTGTGACACAGTCACCCTTTCCTCACCTGTGAGGGTGGGGCGAACGCTTATTTACACCATTCTCATTTGAAATGTTGATCATTTCGTAAGCACTTTATAAACTTGGTTGACATTTATGAAGGACTTTGCTTTGCTTTTGTCGTGGTCCAAAGGTGCTGAGACATGGTTGGGTAGTACTTCCCGTTTCTTCAGGGCCTCTGCGAGAGCCGCCCGCCCTGAGATATGCCGGGGAGACTCTTAGAAGTGACTGCACTCAGCTTTGTTTCCAGTGGCAAGATCTTGCACCCCATTCTTCATGAAGGCACAGCATGTAACCGCTGGAGGCCGGAAGAGCCACGGTGGAATCAGTTCATTTACTGACTGCCAGTTTTGGTGAAAATAACTGTCCAGTTTTTGGTTCTTCAAGAACCTCATGCCAACTTGAGAGGAAAAAAATTAAAACAAGTCTCACAGCTGGCCTTAGATTCTACTGTGCTTAGACTTGACACGGTTTCCAGAGAGTCTGGCTCCACAGTCCAGAAGGCTCTGGTACTCATCCAAGGTGTACTTACTGTTAATTTTGTATGGTAAGTATTTGCTATTTTGAATTTAATTATTAATGTCGGTGTCCGTCTTGGTTGTGTATTGCTTACACTGTATAAAACTGGAGCAAAAAGCACAAGAAAATTATACATCAAATTTATTATAAAGAGATAGTAACTATTTTAATTTTGTTTCAAGTATGTGGTAATTTGCTCCTATTAGAGTGAAAAATACAGTAAAATTATGATCGGTTTGTGTAACTTAAGAATATTCCATATAATATTTTTTTAGAATTAGATGCATAAAATTTTGAATGTGAAAATTGCAGGGCATTTTAAGACACGTGTAGGGTCCTCCCGTATTCTTTGTTGGGTTCATTTTCTTTTTGCTATATGATTTCACAGGTAGTGTAGTCAAGCATACTGTGACTAGATTGTCTATGAAAAGCAAACCATGTAAGATCTACTTTTTAAAATGTAGCTGGTACAACTTTAGACCATTGCTTTTACAGATCATCATATAAATAGTTTATGTCTTCCTAGGCGAGTTACTCATTGCAAAGTTTGACTCATTCAGATGACCTCAAATACATACATGTCTGCTTACTTTGCCGTGGCAGCATCCATGTGAAACTGCTTTGTACACTGTGAAACACATCCCTCCAGCCTGCTTGTTTTGTGTTTACTCTGGGCTGGAAAAGACTTTGCCAAACATCAAAGACCATTCTTTCCGCTGTGTGAGCATTCTGTCTGCTTCCAGACAGTGCAGTGCATTTCCGTGGTCTCATAATGTCAGGGTTGCTCTCCTCTCCAGAGTCATCCTTACAGTCCACAAAGCTATTTTTTTTCTTCAGTGTAATACACCATACGACTGCATTGACAAAACCACCGAAGTGTGAATGTCGTGCCTAGTGAGTCATACTCTGTCCTTTCTGGTCCTTATTCGGTGATTATTGATAGTTCAAGTTCCAGTTTCAGTTTGAACCATGCATCATTTTTTTTGGTAGCTCAACATTGCAAACAACAGCAGTAGGAGTGTTATAACTTCATAGCGTTTGTATGCACTTTATACTTTGCAGAAGTCAACTTATTAATCCGTTTGCACGTTACGGCAATGGTTATACCTTTGTTGCTGTTTGTTCTGCTTGTTGAGATAAGGAAAGCAAGTCACACTAAGGCCCTCTAGTTATGAGCTGCTGTGAGAGATGAGGAAAAAAACCTAGAACTGTTTCCCCATGTGCATTGTAAGGAAAGCCACTGGCATCTTAAATTTAGTTGTCATATTTTCTGCCACTTAATTTGGCACTCTGACAGTTTTTTTCTTTCATAGCAAGTGTATGTGGTTGGTATTAAAATAGTCATTAGGGAAAACTCTATTGCAAAACTTTATGATTTTCTGCAGATAGGACATTGTCGTATGGAAAGCCCAGCTTTCATTAAATCGGACCTTGAAATATAATGGAATTGGGTATACTTACCATAATTCCTGCCTATAAGAGTCCCTTAATATATGTGTTATTTGTAGATTGATTCTTTTCAGAGTTGCATTTCTTGTTTTATTTACCCTTCCTCATCCAAAAGTAGAGGTGTGGGTATCATTTGACCTCTGGCAGTCATCAAGTACCAATGATAACAGCAATCGCCTCATGACTTCATGACTGAAGCATGATGGAGACACAGTGGAATTAAGTCTCAGATGATGGGCACAAGCTACCAGAGCTCTTGGTTTTAGTGCTCTAAGCTAACTGAACAAGACCTGTGGCTTTTTTTGTTAGTCATTTGCAAGGCTCCTACAATTCATAAATAGATGAATATTTGGACAGAAGCCGGAGAAATCTTTCTAAAAAATAAAAGATCCCAGACTTCAGACCAAAAGAGGCAAATCTTATGATACCCCGTATATATTCCGGTTGAATTAAACTTGTAAGTACAGTGAATTGTTAAAAAAAATTAATACAGTGAAACTTCATTACATGTAAAGGAGCAGTTCCTTCTTAGAAAATCTTTCTTACAAATGGTTCCAAACAATGGGTGCCTTAGCTAGGTTTTAAAGTCACAAAGAAGTCCCACTGTAGGTGTAAAGCCTTCCTTTTCAGGGTGACAGCGGCGTGGACAAATGTGAGACAGCCTTTTCACGTTTCCTAGTGTGAGAATTCGGCTGCTTTTTACAAATGGAAAAGCTAGCCTGCGATTGTTTTCTTTGTTTGTTTGTTTTTTAATGCGGGTATCAAAACAATGAAAACTACTTTCTGTGTGAACAAATGGTTAGCTAAAGCATAATCAAAACAGGTCAGTGCTTGTTTTCTGTAGGTTTTATCAAAATGTTTATAAACCAGTGACAAAATATTTGTACATTCAGATTTACATAGACTGCAAATGGAACCTCTCCCATTGTGTCTCCTTTCTGAGTGCAATGTTTGTAACATTGGAAGAAGACAGGCACTAGGCAGCTGGCAGTTGGTAGCTAGAGAAAGGTCTCTTTACTGGAAATTCAGGTGCGTTAGCCATTTGTTACTTTGTGGTGAATCGTTTTCTCTTAATGTTCATTATCTGTTGGCAAAATCAAAGTGCCTTAAGTTGAGAGTTCGCGTTGAAATCCATAGAAACTCAGCATTATTAGTTCATGAAGCATTTATTTACAAGTCTCTTTTGCATGTCCATTGTAAATTTGAAACTGTAAATGTATTCAGATTCATTTCCATGCCTATGGCTGCCTTTCATTAAACTTCTTCCAAAAAAAAAAAAAAAGAGAAGAGAAAAGAAAAAATAAACCCTTTGGATGTTGACTCTTCAATTTTAGTTTGATTTCCTGTCAGATTACTTGAACATAAGTTGTTGCGTAATCAGTGCCAAGGAAGTTCTGTGCTGTGCATTTATAGACCCCCGAATCTGAGGTTTGGAGATGCTGAATGACCAGGGTACCTCGTGGGTAAAGCAGCTCACTTCCCAGGGTTTTCCTTTCTCTTGCCTTTGAGAGCAGCGAGTGTCCTGGCCTCTCCCAGGCAATCTCTGGCTTGGGGGCTCCCAGGGCCACACAGTGCAGCTGTAGTGCTCCTCCTGCCCTCCTGAGCATGCTCCGGGGTGGGTAGTTTATAATTCTGGGAGGGTATGCCATGATCATCACCGGGACGGTAACTGCCGCCTGGCCAACACTGTTCTGAGCCTCACAGATATAATTTCCCCTGTCATAAACTGTTGTTTCTTTGATGGCCAGTGTGCCGTTTTCATGCAGTGTGTATTTGCCGTTAACGTGTGGCCTGTCTATGACATGACCACTTGGGGTAGTCCACTTGACGCTTGGCTTGGGGATTCCGTCAGACACGCAGTGCAGCCATAGAGATTCCCCACTGGCACTTTTTAGCGTCCCTACTGCATGTGTGAGAATCACAGGCTTCTGCCCGATCTCTAATAGGATTAGTTTCTCGATATAGCCAACTTTGTTTCTAGCTGTACAGCGGTACCTTCCTGTCTTGTTCCGAGTTGTTTTATAGATGATGAGAGAACCATTGCTTGCTCTCAGATACGGGGAGTGTTGCAGTCTGTTAGGAAACCGGGTGCCATCAGGTAAAATCCAGATTATTTCAGGTGGTGGGTTCCCGTCCACAGAGCAGTTCAGTGCTGTGGGCCTGCCGGCCTGAGCGATTACTTTTTCATTGAATGGATTTCTGAAGGTTGGCCTTCTCAGCATTTCCAGTACTTCTAACTGCACCACCAACACACTCTCTCCTCCTTCATTCCGAGCCACGCAGATGAAGTCAGCCGAGTCAGAAAGCCTGATGTTCCTAATTTCCAAGGTTCCATTCTTATGGACTGTGATTCGGCTTCCATAGTAGGGAGCACTGAGGAAAATGTTGTCCGGCATAATCCATCCGATCTGGGGAGGTGGGATCCCGTCTGCTCTGCAGTCAAAGTGCTTTTTGGAGTGCTGAATGGCTGTAGCTTTGATAACAGTTTTGTTAGTGTACAGACCATTGATTAATGGAGGTTTAGAGACAATATCCAGTTTGTACATTCTAGTGTCATCCCCACTAGGATTCCGAGCTACACACACGTACTTCCCGGAGTCAAGCATCTTCACTTTATTAATGGACAAAGATCCATTGGCATGGAATACGTACCTGTCCTTTGAGAACGAAACGACATTATTGGAAGGCAGCAACCAGA